AAGATCAAATTCATGGATCAACATTTTCAGTTCGTTTTAATATTTTCCGTGGGAGAAAATAAGTTGACCCGATCGGATAATATGTAGATCGGGGACCGAGATTCGAACCCGGATCTTTCGTTTGCCGGGCGACTGCTTTAACCAATTAAACTATCCCGGCCAACTGACGACACAGTCTCTCCCAGTCCTTATAAAAACAAACAAATAGCATATGTCAGAAATATTCCGGACTCTTACATTTCACTGCTTTAAATTGCACTTACTCATCAATGCGTAAAATCAGCATTATAATTATCATGTCATATTTCATCTGAAACGTAGGATAGTCAGACAATTTTAATTTAGCATAGCATGGAGAACAACGAAACCACGTTCGCGAGATCCCAACCAATACCTATACGTATTATAAATAGAACTCGAGCACATGTGGCACCGGTAGTCAAAGTGTTAATTATATGATTTAATTCAGCATGTTCGTTACCACACAGCGTTCACACATAGTGACATATGTATATGCGCGTGCTGTTTGTTTTAGTAATAATATTATTTATATTGAATACGCGTTGAATACATTTGCATAAGTATGTAATGATGATGGAATTATTCTGTTGAATAATCATATTTCGTTGTTTTGAAAATGATTCCAGGATGATCATTGAATGTGAATAGCAGTTATTACTCCGTAATAATTAGAGTTTTATCGTGTGTCTAGAAATTATTTATTATTTTAAAGTATCAATTTGTATTTATTATATTATATTATTTATTTTTTATTTATTTTTATATTTATTTTATTTTTTAATATCGTATTTATTATCTTTATTACTCTAGAGACTCTCTGAATTACGCGTATACCTGTTTCACGTAGAAAAACGACTTCATTTTTCATATTCTGAAGAAACAATAGTGCCAAACTTCGCGAAGGCTAGATTCAATAACTAATTTCACGCGATTCTTTCTCTTTAATCTAAAGTTTCATAATAATTGATAGTTTCCATTTGACTAGTGTTTACGATAATATGTAATTAATAATGTTAAATACAATAATAAGACTTCTCAATCCTCATTTATATAATTATTCTATACATCGAAGTTAATAAAAATAACACCACATTTCCCCCTTCGTTTTTATTAGCCTTTATTTACAGTAATGGCGTACCACTTAAAAACTGAATTAATGAAAATAATCTCACACTCACACATTTTAACTAATAAAAATAATTTCACGCTCACATATTTTAAATAACAGAAATAACGTCACGCTCACACAACAAGGATGCCAAAATTTTCTTATGTTGCGTAGGAAAACATAATATTATAATTTGTCTTTTATATCTGTCATTTTGTAGTATAATTTGTCTAAGACTATATTTTAATTCTCTGTTCACACACACTTTACACCTCTGTCAAGATTTGATAGAGTTCAAAATTAACTAAATTAAATAAAGTACCCATAATACACATGTAAAAGTAATATAAGTTTATAAAACGCTCTAAAATTTTGCAGTCACTCATAAAGAATTGTAAGTAAATTCTATCACGGTTCTACCTTTTTTGTTGTAAATTATGTAACTGTGTAGAATGTAAATTATTATAACTAAATTCCTTCGCGTACTCGATCATTCAAACTGTCAAGGTATTTGTACGTGACATGCCGACTAATTGCAAAATGTTTGAAGCATCACCTTGCCCAATTAAGAAACTAGTTAACATAGTTTCTGATATTTACTCAGTCATGTTCTATCTTTGATAGATAGGCGATACATAGTGTAAATTTTTATAAAACTGATATAAATTATCGTTTCCGATAAAAATGTCTTTAAATTGATCATGGTATCTGTTTTATGAGTCTATTATGTCCAAAACCTAGCAGCTGATTTTACATTGCACTTTATATGCCTTTCAGTAACTGAACTAAATTATAATACTTTGTCTATGCCATTTGTGTCTTGTATCATTAAACTTGATGAAATTCAACAAATGACAACTGAACTTAATACTATCATACGATTCCGAAAATTATTTCGAGAGTTGAGATCATTGTTACTAATTGAACTTCTGTCTTTAGAATAGAAACTAAACCTATAAATCAAATAACAGGTTCCATATCATTTATTTCACAATTATTGAAATGAAAAATTTAAGAATATTTCTATGTTCTCTATACTTTATCAGAATTATTAAAAAAACAGTGAGTGCATTTTTATTTAATTTCTGTTTTTACAATTAAGTTAAAATAATATAATAGATATATTAGACTCATGAAAATTATTTATTCCTTATTGCTACCACGTTTTAGATATCTTGCTAATTGTGTATTCATTAGTGTGCTTTAGAATTTTCTTGAATGTCTTCAGTACGGATGAAAAATAGCAGACTAGATGTATCCTTCCCAATGGCAATTGCCACCGTAGTCCCACACGTAGCGGCAGGGCGACAGTGATTTATAGATCAATGTGCTTGAAAAAAGGGATCTTTGAGCACCCTCCTGCGTGGCTTGCGTGGAAAAAACGAAGTCACGAGGTCAGTAGATACTGCACAATTTGGGACAACGCCCTAAATCAGTGATCCGCTCTATTCTCGCTAAGGAAATGATTTTTGACTGTTCATTTTAGGAAGAAATACATAGACGCGAAGAACAATAATTTTAAATGCAAAAATTTAGGTTCACGAATTGGGGCTTTGATTCGTTTAAGTAAATATTAAAAGTCTTTTTAAAATGTTGATTTTATTCCATATTTTTTATTTCTTTTTCATATAGTATCATCTTCTCAGTTGTATCGTTGATGCTGAGACACTCTGTATAGACGTTACTACAAAAACTTATTGATTGAATTATTTATTCGGATCAATGAAGTAATAAGAGAGAGAGAGAGAGAGAGAGAGAGAGAATCGCATAAAATCTAAATAAATATATTATATACTTTATATATTATAAGCCATACAAATCCCTCACTGTTACCATTAAACTGTAACAACTTACATATTGAAACGAACTATGTATCAACCTATTTCATTAAAATAATTAAACATATGAATTTTAATAATCGTTACATTTTTAATGAATATTTTTAAATATCATTGTTTTGTATATATTTGCTTTCAATATACCGTTTGTAATCGAATGCAACATAAAATGTCCTTTTATCGGAATAACATTTTTCATTACACGAATGAAATCAATAATACATTTTCTCGTACACGTTGCACACGTACCTACACATGCAGTATACATATAAGCCGTAAAAGTGAAAAACCTGTAACCAATAAAAATGTCAAACGCATATATTTCAACGGGATTAAAGGGAACGTGCAATACATTGCGTTGATCACCCATGGAGTATTCATCCTGCAACGCGCGACATGGTAGTTATCCCATTAAAATTACACAACATGTACTGGATTAATTTCAATGCATGCAGTAGGCTGAAAATTTCATCCGGTCGCAGCAATTTGATTACGCTCCTGTAAATGCAAAACGTAAAACGAAATTAGCGTCAAACGATTCGTGAATCGCAGAATTAACCCTTTCAATGATTAGTACGTACGTGGTACGGTCGTACCACATTCATTAACTTCCAACATTTATGCAAAATTTAGTCTACCATAATCTCTATTATAATTAATCTTCAGATTTTATACATTTATGGCAAAATGAGTAGGTGAAATATAACGATAACATAAGGAGAGTTTAATTATAACTGTTATACTATCTTCAAGTTAACAGAATTATGAAAAGAAACAATTCATTTTCATTTCATTCCTGGAGAGTTTAATTATAATTATTATACTATCTTCAAGTTAACAGAATTATGAAAAGAAACAATTCATTTTCATTTCATTCCTGGAGAGTTTAATTATAATTATTATACTATCTTCAAGTTAACAGAATTATGAAAAGAAACAATTCATTTTCATTTCATTCCTGGAGAGTTTAATTATAATTATTATACTATCTTCAAGTTAACAGAATTATGAAAAGAAACAATTCATTTTCATTTCATTCTTGTTTCTTGCAGTCTATGTAGACAATTTTTATTCCGCATGAAGATCCGCAGTCCAATTAATATATATTTAAGTAATACGATAATGTGAATGGCGTTTGTACAATATGAGTATAATACAAAATCATAAAAATATAAACATAAAAGGTAAATCCTCCGTCTATTATACTCTCTCATTTTATTCAGCTCTGAAAAGGTTAATCCTCGTGAACTAATCACAGATATAAAAAGTTCGATTCACTGTTTCTTGGAAACCATTTTTTCTCATTACA